GTGGACTCAGATATCTCAGTTCAAAGCAGATATTGTGGGATTTTCAGCCTTGATATTCTGGATTATATGGCTGTATGAAAGGGCCTAGAGCAGTGGTTCTCAACCTGGGGTCACCAGATGTTTTGGCCTTCAACTCCCAGAAATCTTAACAGCTGGTAAACTGGCTGGGATTTCTGGGAGTTGTAGGCCAAAAACATCTGGGGACCCCAGGTTGGGAACCACTGGCCTAGAGTAACCAGAGCAATGGACAGAGATAAACAATAAAAGAATAACAAAATCAAGTTGAGAGCTTTGCATGGTCTAAGTTAATGTTATCCCCATTCACTCAAATATAAGCAATGGTAAGAGGAAAATTTGAAAATCTCAATATAAAGTATACAGTCAAATGTACAGGTAAAATCAGCCAATGTTTCACTTAGTAAAATTACTGAAAGGGGGGGGGGGGCTGTTATGGTGCCTCCTGTCATCTTCATAGGCACTAGAAAGTTTTGTGTACAAAACACAAGCAGATGGATACATTAATTTCAGCATGTTGCCTAAAGCAGAGATAGGAAAGAGCAGCTCCTAGCCATTTATGACGGCTCAACAGAGATGGCTTGCTGGCAGTCAGAAGTAGACCTGGCATTTTTGGCCTGAATCTTCGCATCTTCAGAGTCATGCACTCACATCAACAAAAAGCCCTCCCCAGCTAACCCCCCCAGCACAGCTTCTACGTGTTGGACAGGACTGCAAACGCCTGTAAATCTGAACTTTCCCAATGAGCCCTTCAGACTATACCTCAGGGCGATTATAACTATTCCATAAATATCCCAGATTAATTCTGATCCCAACATCAAATCCACTTAGTGACTTAAAAAGACTGAGTCGCCAAGGCTGTAGCTGATAGACTGCTCCATCAAACAGTCAAGAGAAGCACCTTATCAAAACATGACAAACCATTTATGTAATTTCTAGTATGTCACTTGGAAAGATAATGAAGGAAAGCTGCTTCAGCACGGGTACAAAATCAGTTCTCTGATTTTATTTATCAAGTTCTTGTCTACAAGACATTTAAAAATGAGATACAGAAGACAGACCACTTGTTATGAAAGCAGATTTGCTTCCTGAACAGCAACATATGCCCTATAAACCACCCCTTTGCAAGCTCATTTATTTCAAAGGATTTATTCTCAATATGATTTTTTCCAAGTCAATTGACTGTTTCTAACTCATAAAAAACCCTAGAGTGAACACTCTTCGAGGCCACATTTTCTTGGACAGACACACAAAATTGAGAACAAGCAGCATTTTGATGGGATGAACACAAGATGGAAAATTCAGTCACTTCAACAGGTTTCTGCACTGTGCAGAGGAAAGAAATACACAGGCAATATTCTGAGATGTCACATTGAGTAACAAATGATATTAAAAACATGGTTCTCTGTAATCCACAATGAGGTAAGTTTCCTGGTTGAAAAACGACTTTGTGCATAATCAGTTTATGAACTCCCTTTGAAAACAGTGTTTTAAAGCTTTCTCTTTAAATGCAAACACCAAAGGATGACCTCCACCATTGATATATTTGGAGCATTCAACCCCTACATCTCAGTTTAAAGGGGAGGGGATGGGGAGAGACTCAAGGAGATACTATTGCAGATAAAAAGAACCACACTGAAAAGAAAGAATGGTTTGCCATCCCTTATAAACACACATTAACTGTTGTTGCTGCTGTGATACAATATATAAACTGGATACATTATTAATAAGAAGGGCATGCACAACTTCTTGTGAGAGGTCCACAAACAGAACTACAAGTAATCCTGACACCTTTCTCTGCTAACTGGACACACAAGGGCCTGAGGCAACCTATACCTTTATACATACAAACAACTAAATCAATGTTTCTCAACCTGGGGGTCGGGACCCCTGGGTGGGGGTTGTGAGTGGGTCTCAGAAGGGTCACCAAAGACAATCAGAAAACATATATTACTGATGGTTTTAGGAACCCCTTCCTCCGAAAATCTCCCTGCCTGTTCTTCTCTTTCTTTTTGGAAACGAACTGCGAATCTTCCCACCAAAAGCCCTCCTCTGCTGTGACTGGTGGGTCTCTCAGCAAGCCTCTAAGCCAAGGGGTGGTATATTTCAAAGACTCCAAGTGGGGGAGGGGAGAGCAGGCATGCTCAGTGCATGGCAGCATGGTGCACATGAGCGGATGAGGGAGAGCATATGAGGCTGGAGGGAGGCTCGCCCCTTTGAGTCCCTACAAGGCATAGGGGTTCTGTGGAGAAGTTTGGCCCAATTCTTTCATTTGTGGGGTTCAGAATGTTCTTTGATTGTAGGTGAACTATAAATCCCAGCAACTACAACTCCCAAATGTCAAGGTCTATTTCCCCCCAAACTTCACCAGTTTCCTCATTTGGGCATATCGAGTATTTGTGCCAAGTTTGGTCCAGATCTATCATTGTTTGAGTCCACAGTGCTCTCTGGATGTAGGTGAATTACAACTCCAAAACTGAAGGTCAATGCCCACCAAACCTTTCCAGTATTTTCTGTTGGTCATGGAAGTTCTGTACGCCAACTTTGGTTCAATTCCATTGTTGGTGGAGTTCAGAGTGCTCTTTGATTGTAGGTGAACCATAAATCCCAGCAACTACAACTCCCAAATGACAAAACCAATCCTCCCCCTCCCCCAATCCCACCAGTTTTCAGATTTTTACATATTGGGTATTTGTGCCAAATTTGGTCCCGTGACTGAAAATACATCCTGCATATCAGATTTTTACATTACAATTCATAACAGTAGCAAAATTATAGTAATGAAAACAATGGTTGGGGGTCACCACATGAGGAACTGTATTAAGGGGTCGCAGCATTAGGAAGGCTGAGAAACATTGAACTAAATCAAATCCACCTGTATCTGTATACATGTTCATACCTTATTGAATGTGTATTTTTCAATGAAGAAAAATAATTTGATGTGTGGGTTTGATGTAATGCCATTCATGAATTAAATATTTTATTCATAGTATCTTTAGTTTTTGTCATCTAATTGTAATGTTTAAAACTTTCAAACTTTTAAAAAGAAATCAAATAAACTAATTCACAGATATATAAACCCTATTTTCCTATTTTCCAACAGACCTCACAACCTCTGAGGATGCCTGCCATAGATGCAAGGTGAAACGTCAGGAGAGAATGCTTCTGGAACATGGCCACACAGCCTGGAAAACACCCAACAACCCAAACTAACCATTGTAGCTTTAGATGAGAGAAAGACATCTTTCCAGCTAGTGTCTCCATAACTCTTACTCTGTCAAGATTTCCTAACTGTGAAAGCTGTTCAGCAGTGGAACTCTCTGCTCCAGAATGTGGTAGAGGCTTTTAAGCAGAGGCTGGATGGCCATCTGTCGGGGGTGCTTTGAATGCGATTTTCCTGCTTCTTGGCAGGGGGTTGGTCTGGATGGCCCAACTCTATGATTCTATGAGGAGCCAAGGCACCTTAAACCTCGCAAACTCTGAACTTTGACTGAGAATCACGTTGTGCCTTCCCTGCTTAAATAACTTCTATTTTAAGCAGTTCAAGAGAGAGAGGGCAGTGAGTGTAGCTCTTTAACGACTCCAGGATCGGCCTTACTTTAAGCAGTAATGCAGTTAAGCAGCTCCCCATACGTAATCAACAGTACACGATTAATTAACGCTTAAAGCCCGCTGTAAATAGACACAGAGATTGAGAGCAAACAGGTTCCTGACGAGCAACAAGTTTAGATGTGAACGACGAGTTGCTGTTTGGAACAAGCCGCCACCTGCCAATGTTTACTGACCCTCATTCCCTCAGTTTCAATGGCAGCTGCTCATTAGGAGCCGCACGTTTTGCCTCCGAAGAGGAGCCCAAGTAGCCCTTTCCCAGAATAATCAGGCAGCCCCAAATGGGGCCCTTCGGTTGACTCCCGAGCCAAATCCACCTCCTCCACCACCTGGAGAGGAGGAGGATTCTTCTGCAGGTGAACTCCGCTAGGCCGGGGGCTCCGAAGGAAGCTCCTGGGTTCACAAACACAAACCCCAAGAAAATCGTGTGCAAATAAATTACTCCAAGGCTTCGGCTCTGTGATTTTAGGGGCGCTGAAGGAAGCCTCTGGGACCACTAACCCTGAGAAAACCGAGAGCACATAAATTACTCCAAGGCTTCGCCTCTGAGCCACTTCTGGTCCCGCAGCTGAGCCGCTGACGGAGGCGGTTCTTTAAAATAGGATGGCTGCAGTTTGAACCCACTTTAACTGCCATGGCTCACTGCTATGGAATCGTGGGTATTGTAGTTTTACAAGGCCCTTTGCGGGCCCCTCGTCAGACGCCAAACTCGCAGGATCCCTTAGCCTTAAGGCTGTTAAAGCGGACTCAAGTTGCATTCATTCTTCAATTTGGTTAAGCCAAGTATGGGCTCTCCAGGTGTTTTGGATTCCAACTCCCACCATTCCTAACAGCCTCAGGCCCCTTCCTTTTCCCCTTCAGCCACTTAAAAATGTTAGAATGTTGAGGCTGGACAATCAGAAACCACATGCAAATTAGTAGGTAAAGACAGACCATGCTGGGCCAACTTGGGCTCTCCAGGAGTTTTGGATTCCAACTCACACCATTCCTAACAGCCTCAGGCCCTTTCCTTTTCCCCTTCAGCCACTTAAAAATGAGGCTGACCAGTCAGAAACCACATGCAAATTACTAGGTCAAGGAAGACCATGCATGGGCCAACTTGGGTCCTCCAGGTATTTTGGACTCCAAGTCCCACCATTCCTCACAGCCTCAGCCGCTTAAGCGAATGAGGGGGGAAAGGAAGGGGCCTGAGGCTGTGAGGAATGGTGGGACTTGGAGTCCAAAACCCTTGAAGGGCCCAAGTTGGCCCAAACTTAGATTAACCCCATAACCTTCCCAGAAGTTTGTCCCACCGAAGGACCCCAAGAGTCCCTCTCCGTGAGGTGTTTCCAGGCAGGAGACTGTCCAGAATCCCCGTGTCCCAGACTCCCACTTACTTTTCATCCTTGGCGTGTTCCTGGCTGTCCCCCGGAGGCATCGGCGGCGGGAGCATGGGTAAGGTCCCTTGTGGCGGTTGTTGTGGCTGTTGTTGTGGCTCCTGCTGCTGGTGCTGCTGGAGGAGGAGGAGCGCGCAGGTGGCCAGGTGCCTCTGGTGCTCGTCCTGGAGGCGCCCGTTCTCGCGGTAGAGCTTGGCCACTTGCTGCTCGAGCTCGTCGATGCGGAGCTTCTGCTTCTCCAGCAGCTCTTGCTGCGTCTCGATGATCTTGTTGAGCTCCTTGAGGTACTCCGCCGCCTTGCTCGGGTTCTCCGCCGGCGGGGGCTCCATGGCCGGGCCAGCCTCGCGGGCACCCGGGGCCCACTCCGCCTCGCCCGCCCACCACGGCGGCCCGGGCCAGGGGGAGGCCAGGCGGGGGCGCTCAGCTCGGCCGCGGAGGAGGACGACGACGACGACGACGGGGAAGAGCAACCCCAGCGCCAGCCCGGACGCGACGCCCCACCAGTCGCCCCCCGCCAAGCACGGGTCCGGAGGAGGAGGAGGAAGAGGCACGTCCTCTGCTTCTCCTTCCCGGCTAGGGAACGCCGACGCCTCCCGGGCTCTGCGGGGACGCCATGGCCTTCTTTTGGGCCACCCAGGAAGGCTGGTGGGACAGGCGAGGGGAGGCGCGGGAAGGGCCACCCAAGGAAGCCCCTTCTTCTCCCGAGCCCCCTCCTCTCCCGCTGCAGGTCCCGCGGAGTTTGGGAAAGTGCCTCCTCTTCGCAGACTCCGGGGCGGAGCTGGGGTTGGGTGCCCGGGCTGACGAGGAGAAGAGCCAACCTGGCCTCGCTCCTGGTCGCACTTACTGCCGCTCTTCTGCTTCTTGCCTCTCGCCTGCCTTCCGCGGAGCGCCGGGCGGATAGGCGGGCGGGCGCGCGACTCCGTGTCCCAGCGCTTGCTGCCTTCAAACAACATACACAGGCTCGCTCACACTCAAGCGCGCGCGCCCTAACCCCTCCCTCTCTCCCTCCCTCTCTCCCTCCCTCTATCTCTCCAGCGCGCGCCCACACCGCGGAGCCCGAGGGCGGCGGCGGCGGCGCTGGTGGTGGTGACAGCTGCAGGACGCTCGCCTAGGGAGGGGCGGGGAGGGGCGGGGAGGGGGAGGGCAGAAGACTTGGGCAGGTGGTGGTGGTGGAGGAGGAGGGAGGGAGAGAGAGAGAGAGAGAGAGAGAGCGAGAGCAGGGGACTTTTGTGGAGTGGCTGACCTTTTCAGAGCGGCTCCCCTTTTGGCGGGAACGCGTGTTAAGGGAGCCAAAGATGGGCAACGTGCCTTTGGCCCCGCCCTGCCCTGCTTCCAGAGCAGGTGAGGAACCCCCTCAAGGCAGGGCGGCGGCGAAAGCTGCATCTCCGCGCGGGGCAGAGTTTGGGGGATGTTTCGCGCCCGCGCTCTTCCTCCTCGACAAGCAGCCCTCATCCTTCAGCGGGACCAGGTGGATTCCTCGACTCGCTCTTCCCTCCATCTCAACCTCTGAGGATGCCTGCCATAGATGGGGGCGAAACGTCAGGAGAGAATGCTTCTGGAACATGGTCATACAGCCCGGAAAACTCACAGCAAACCACACTGTTTGTGCCCGGGACTCCAGTGTGCCTGCCATCCTCCTGCTTATTCAGTCCGAGACTCTCTCCCCTCGGGTTCCTTTTGACTAACCGCGCTGAACTTGCCCTCCTGCTCCTGGATGTCATACAAGAACATGGAATGCCTAAGCAATGAGGGGAGAGGAGCGGGGGCTGGAGGCTCAGACCCTGTCCTCCAAGTTCTGGAGGAAGGAGGATGCCATGGGGAGCCCATCCTTGGCCGAAGAAGGCTGTGTGGAAGCCTCTCCCCATCTTGTCTTCTTCTGCCTCAACTCAGGATGCTTCTCCGTCGGCAGCCGCAACGAGGGAGCGTCCCTTTTCCCCTGGAAGTCCAACGAAGAGGCGATCCAAGCAAGCTGGTGAGGGAGGGATGGAAGGCAAGAGGCTTCGAAGCTGAAGGGAAAGCTGGAGGGTTTCATTCTATCCACCCTTTCCTTTTCCGCCTCCTCCTGTCTTTTTTCTCCCGCTTCTTTATTCTCCTCTTCATCCCCCACCCTCTAGTCTCTCATTTTTCCTCAAATTGCAGCAGTAGCATTTGGCTGCTAATTTGCCAAGTCAGCTCTTCGGGAACCTGGGCTTGCTCTCACTTGAGGTAACAGGCAGCTTGAGTAGGAGGCAGAAATCTCAGCAGAGGAGGAGAGGGTGGCCCTTGTAGCCTGGCCCTAGGCTGTGAGGGGACTGTCCCCATTCTGCAGGCTCCCTGGCTTTGAGGAGGGAGCCTGATCTGGAATGGAGGCTGCAATGGGAGGCTTTATCAGGATTCCTCTGAAATAAGTGCTTTGAAAACATCTGCTTCCCACCTTACCTGTTTTTCAGAGTAGTAGATCTATGAATCCTTTGTGGTGGAGAGGTACCTGTGTTAGCCTGTTTCAGAATGGAAATAAATAAGGAATCTGGACCCTCTCAGAGTCACCAATTTATTTCCATTTTAACAGGCATGGGCCAACTTGGGTCCTCCAGGTGTTTTGGACTTCCACCATTCCTAACAGCCTCAGGCCCCTTCCTTTCCTTTCCCACTTAAGCGGCTGAGGAGGAACTCTGGAACTTTCTCCCACTGGAGATCAGAACTGCCCCTTCTATCCTGACATTCAGGAAACAGGTGAAGACGTGGTTATGGAGACAGGCATTCGATGAGTGAGCCAACACCCTGAGATATGGATGGAAGATGATGTATAATCGATTTTAGTATGATGACTGACCATTGTAGTTTTGTATATATTTGTTGTTTTAATGTATTATTGTAATATGAATTATGTTGTTTTACTGATTGTATGTGATTTTATGGTTGGAAACCGGTCTGAGTCCCTCAGAGGTGAGAAGGTCGGTATATAAAACTTTTAAATAAATAATAAATAAATAAAGGGCCTGAGGCTGTTAGGAATGGTGGAAGTTGAAGTCCAAAACACCTGGAGGGCCCAAGTTGGCCCATGCCTGGTCTATCTTGACCTACTAATTTGCATGTGGTTTCTGATTGGCCAGCCTCAGCATTCTAAGAGGCTGAAGGGGAAAAGAAGGAGCTTGAGGCTGTGAGGAATGGTGAGAGTTGGAGTCCAAAACACCTGGAGGGCTCAAGTTTGCCCACACCTGCCTCATAAGCTTTCATTTCAGACAAGCTACATCAGAAGCCATCTGGGCTGAAAGAAACTTCATATTCTAAGGGTACATCTACACAGTTTGATTAATGCTTTAATTGCCATGGCTCAATGCTGTGGATTCATGGGAGTCATAGTTTATAAGTTGTTTAGATTTCCCCTGCCAAAGAGAAGTGATGCCTCACCAAATGGAGTTAAACTGCATTCATTCTACTGTCCATGCACCCTAAGATGCCACAAACCTTCTTCTTTGTGGGAACTCAACAATTAGCATTTAAGATATTTTCTCCCACTCTACTAACTTTTAAAAGGAAACTTTGCTACATCTTATCTTTTTATTTTTTAAAAAATAGGAACCCCCGGTGGCTTAACCCAGTGGTTCTCAACCTGTGGGTCCCCAGGTGTTTTGGCCTACAACTCCCAGATATCCCAGCCAGTTTACCAGCTCTTAGGATTTCTGGGAGTTGAAGGCTAAAACATCTGGGAACCTACAGGTTGAGAACCACAGGGTTAAACCCTTATGGCAGCAGGACTGCTGACCAAAAGGTTGGCGGTTCGTATCCGGGGAGCTCCCATCTGTCAGCTCCAGCTTCTCATGCCAGGACATGAGAGAAGCCTCCCGTGGGATGGTAAAACATCTGGGCGTCCCCTGGGCAAGGTCCTTGCAGAAGGCCAATTCTCTTACACCAGAAGTGACTTTCAGTTTCTCAAGTTGCTCCTGACACAAAAAAATTCAAATAATAAACTACAAATATTGCTCAGAGTCTTCTGAAGTATTCTGTAAATAGAGTTGAGATATATGCTTTTATTCATCTGCTGTGAATATCTGCTCTATTTACATTAGGGTTTGGTGACTTGCACTAGTAGATTTATGTAGATTCCAAATCAACAAGACACACCAAGAGAATACATCTATGTGATGAGTAATGCTCTAAAATATGAGGTGGGTGAATATCTGGATTTTCATAGAAAACCTGTGACAATCTCTCCTCTAGATTCTGCCCTGAGATACTCTTCAGGAGACCCCAAACAGGGCTTCAGACAGACTGTTCTGTGCATGAATTGATTGATGATATTCATCTCTTAGTCCTTAAACAGAGTCCAACAAGAAGAGACTGGTCCCATTTACCTACCGCACTGGGTCATTAATAAGTTCTCAGGGCTGATTCCTTTATATATAACAAAAATGCTTACTCTCTGAGTCATAAGATACTCCTTTCCTTGCACAGTCCTTCTCCCTCCAGAGGTAAAGAGTGAACTTGCCAAATGTTTTTGTCACTCTCCATAATGTCTTCTCCAAATTGTCTGAGGTGACCCTTATAAATCATTGAGACACCTTGGAGCTTCCACCAGACAGTTTTCAAGTGTCGTCAGTCTAAGGCATTGATTGGCTATTTCATTATGCTGCTAGGATACCCCCACTCTAGCTTATTTTTTCCTAAAAAAATAAATGTAGTGGTGGGAAAATATGGGAAGATTAGAAACCGAAACTTGGCCTGCCTTGTCTGGAAACCATTGTAAAATTCTGTGGTGAGGTGGACAAATTACAAAATAAAAGCCTTGTCTGGCACTTAGATGTTAAGTAGGTCAGTCTATGAATGTGTATTTCATTTTTATTACATTTCCATCCTTTTTAATACTGTTTTACATAAAACCTGCTCCTTTTAATTTGAACTCTGCTAAATGTTACGTCCTTGCCTTGTGACACACACTATGTCTAACTATTTGGCCATCCTTTAGGTTAATGAGAAATAGCAGGGAATAACAAAATTGAATCTAGATTCTGACCAGTGGATAGTTAAGCATGATTTCTTTGTTGCCAGGAGTTCCTAAAATTTAAATGCTTCAGGATATATTGAAGTGAGAGTACTCTAGTGTAACTAATATGTAATGTGTCCTTCATTTATCCTTCTTAGAGGAAGGGTGCTTTACTGTACAGTTAGACTATATTGAAGTGAGGCTACTCTAAAGTCAGTAATATGTAATGGTGAGGCTACTATAGAATAAGTAATATGCAAATTGTCCTCTAGATAGCCTTCCTAGAGGAAAGATGTTTTATCATGTTGGACTGCAACAAGTATTCTCATCACTACTGGCTATGTTGGCTGAAGCAATAATATCTAAAGACTTCAGTGTCCTAGAAGTGTCTTCAACTTTGTGTGTTACTTGTTTGAAATACTGTCCACATAGTGTTATAAATGGAGCCCCTGGTGGCACAGCAGGTTAAACCACTGAGCTGCTGAACTTGCTGATCAAAAGGTCAACAGTTCAAATCCAGGGAGCGGGGTGAGCTTCTGCTATTAGCCCCATCATCTGCCAACCTAGCAGTTCAAAAACATGCAAATGTGAGTAGATCAATAGGTACCACTTCTGCAGGAAGGTAATGGCACTCCATGCAGCCATGCTGGCCACATGACCTTGGAGGTGTCTATGGACAACGCTGGCTCGTTGGCTGAGAAATGGAGATTAGCACCACCCCAGAGTCAGATACTACTAGACTTAATGTCAATGGGAAACCTTTACCTTTTTAGTGTTATAATAATACTCATGCGTAATCCCTTTAATTTCACCTGGACCTTTTCTCACATACTGAACAACTGTGTAAAAATAACTATTGAAAGCTACTTTTAAAATGTCTCCTAGGGTATAATAGGTTTCTTGGGACTTTTTTTCTTGAGTAAACATAGAAAGGACCAGATGATGGAGCAAACCTCAGTATTAGTTACTTCAGAGTAGATCCTCTGAGTTCA